AATGACATTTTTCACAGGAAGAGAAAAAAAAATCCTAAAACTTATATGGAACCACAAATGACCAAGAATGGATAAAGCAATCCTGAGCAAAAAGAACAAAACTGGAGGAATCACATTATATGACTTCAAATTATACTCTAGCACTAAAGTAACCAATATCAAGGTACTGGCATAAAAACAGACACACTGACCAATGGAACAGAATAGAGAGCCCAGAAATAAGTCCACACATCTATAGTGAACTTATCTTCAACAAAGGTGCCAAGAACATTCAGTGGGGAAAGGACAATCTCTTCAATAAATGGTTTTGGGAAACTAGATATCTATATGCTGAACAATGAAACCAGACCTTATCTCTCTCCATATGCAGAAATTAAATCAAAATGAATTGAAGACTTAAATGTAAAACCCCAAACTATGAAACATTGGGGAAACTCTTCAGGACATTGGTCGGGGCAATTACTGCTTGAGTAATACCCCCAAAGCATAGGCAACCAAAGCCAACAAAAACTTTGAGTTTAATTATTCCACGAATTTGTAGGTAATCACTAAATGCATTTGGTTTAGAAAAACTCCTGGTAGAATTTAAGCTTTTTAAAATAATTACACTTTAAAAAACATTTAAACAATCTTCATATTTAATTCATGAATATGAAAATTCTTTGCATTTTATGACCAAATAATACGATATATAAAATGATGTAATGTTTTCTCCTTACTCAAGATATCTTTTTATACTAATAAAAATAATCACTCTCATTTTCTCAATATGTAATAAACTATGTGACTTGCACAATTTTAAGCACTTTGCATATATTACACTCATTGACACAACCACATACAAAGTAGTTATTATTTTCTCCCTTTTATAGGGAAAAAAACCAGAAAAGTTATATAACTTTCTTAGAGCTACAAAAGTAAAAACTAAGGAAAGTAAAATTAAGATTTGACTCTATCTCATAATTTTTAATTGTTCAAGTTGTATCCAGCCATATAAGTACTGTATACAGTTGGGGGAATTTTGATAATCGTGTATTAACATTTAACACACATAAGAAAAGAGAACAGTTCCATTGCCTCAGGTTTTCTCATGGCCGTTTGCAGAGCATCTCCTCTTCCAATCTCCAGCATCAGATGACCACTAATCTGCCTTCTGTCCCCGTATATTTTTTCTAGAAGTTCATATGGATGAATCACATGGAATATAGCCTTTTATGAGATCATTTTCACTTATCATAATGTATTAACATTCAATCACACTGTTCTCAATATTAATATTTTCTCTTTTATTACTAGGTAGTATTCCATAGTAACAATATTCTGCAATTTGTTTAGCCATATATTAATAGTAGTTAATGGACATTTGGATTATTTCTAATGTTTTGCTTTTATTATTTTAAATAATTCTGTTGTCAATATTTAGACAGAAGTCCTTAAGTGGAAAATTATTTTCATTTTTCTTATGAAAAATAACAAGGAGTAGGATTGCTGGTTGCAATTAAGTATATGTTCCACTACAAAATATTGCTACAATGTTTCCAAAGTGGCTGTGACCACATTTCCACTAGCACTGCATGAGTGTCTGTTATTCCATATTATTGCCCAAAGTTCATATTATTTGTCTTTTTATCTATACCAGGGGGTGTAGAGTGGTATCTCATGGTGTGTGTGTGTGTGTGTGTGTGTGTGCGCGTGTGTGTTGGTAGCTGTGTGATGACTACCAATGCATTTTTATGTGCTTGTTTTCATTTGTAATGAAGTGTCTCTTCAAACCTTTTGTCTACTTTTAATTAAATTATTTGTTTTCCTATTACTGATTTGTAAGTTTAATTTGTATATTCTTGATAGAAGCTTTTTGTTTGATACATACTTTGGAAATATGTTCTGTGTCTTGCCTTTTCATTTCTTAAATGTATCTTTTAGAAAACAAAAGTGTTGGTGACAAACATGTATTTTAAGTTGCTGCCTGAAGGCTGGCTTGAGACTGAGCTGTACTGCTTCATGCTGCATTTCTTGATTTTCTGAACTTCTCATATAGGTATAACTGACCTAAGTCACCAACTTTGATATTAAATGTCATTTAGGAACAGAGGTAGGGGATTGAGAATCCCCATAAAGTGGTCCTGTGTCATGTGTTTCAGCCTGGACCCATCTGCATGTATTAGAGTGAACCATGTGTCTCAGTTCCAGGGTTTGTTGCGACTGGTGCTAGGCTCAGGGGAATGACTCTTACCCTATCACTTACCCTATCACTGATCACTGGTGCCTCAATCAAGCATCGGCCCCCACTCTGTAGAGAGCTCAGGGGAAAGACTATGCTGTGTATTATTAGGACCCCTCAGGTGGTTACTCATATAGAGGAAGAATAGCCACAATTTGAAGAGCAATAACTATTTGAAGATTTGAATTGTTGAGGTCCACACCGCTAAAATCACGTAGCTCATTATGCACCTACAAAATGCCTTTTTGCTTCTGCTACTGCCTATGCCTCTGTTGAAATAAAGATCTGAATCCCCAGGGTTATAGGAAAAAAATACTCATGTAGCCCCAATGGCAAAGTCAAGGGGTTAAATCAACATGGATGAGGCCCATAACCCTGGCCGTGCTGATTTGAAGCTTTCTGGGAGAAGATATATATAAGCATGAGCAGCACAGAGAGACACTCCCCAACCCCAAAGTATATCTAGTAACACAGAGAAAGAGAGACAAATAGCTTTCTCTTCAAGGGACTGTAGTTAATACAAATATTTTCTTTTGGTTCACTTCAGTTTATTATAATGGCAGACCCTACTGTAGTTGTTTCTGAAAACTGGCCCCAGACTCCTGTATGCTTATAAATAGTGCACATTTTGTGTTCTGTTTTCCATTGCTTTCTTCTCCTTCTATAGTCAATAATCTCCAAAATACAAAGTCTTCTTTTTTTTATTTATCACCATTCTCCTTATTCTTTATTTGCTTCCTTCCCTTCAGAGTCCTTCTGACTCAATTATCTCTCTCTCTCTCTCTCTCTCTCTCTTTCTCCCCCTCCCTCCCTCCCCTTACCCTCTCTCCCTCCCTCCCTGCCTCCTTCCTTCTCTTTCATTTTCTTTTAGATTCATATTTGCTGCTGATGGGCAATTGTCTTAATCTACTCAGGCTGCCATAACAAAACACCATAGGCTGGGTGACTTAAACAACAGAGTATTTTTCCTCATAGTACTTGGGTGAGAAGTCTAAGACCAGGTGATTGCCTATTTGGCTCCTGGTGAAGTCTCTTTTGTTTGCTTGCAGAACAGGATGATATCCTCATGTGGCCTTTCCTCAGTGTGAGTGAGGAAAGAAAGAGAGACAGACCCTGGCTTTTTCTTCTTATAAGGTCACTAAGCCTTAATGTGCCCTAATTCCTTCCCAAAGGCTCTATCTTCAAATACCATCACATTGGCATTTAGGACTTCAACACATGGATTTGGGGCTGACATGAATGTTTAGTGCATAACAGTAACAGAGCACATTGTTCTGGAAATTTTCTCTCCATCATGGTCTTCTTTCTCTCAATAACTTCTACCCTACATCTGTAGGCTGGAGTTGCAGGGATACCAGCACAGCCACATATGTTACCATATGCTACCATCATTTCTACAGTCATGTTCTAATTCCAAGACTCACTTATACTTTTTAAAAGTTCATTTGATTATTTTAATGATCTCATTGAACATGGAAAAATATGATTGTGCCCATTTCTTAAATGAGCTAACAGAATCAGACAGATTTAATAATACTTTATCCAATATCTTAAAGGTTTTTTTTAATAAAACAAAAGTGTTATAACTCAGGTTTCCTAACTCTTATTCCTGTATTTATTGATAGCATTTATGCCCATATTTATCATTTATGATCTGATCACTATAACTTTCAAAGAGATCTATATAATGTCTAAATCACTTCATCAGCAAATGGAGCACTAAGCATTTTTCAGAAATATTTCTGTATGAATGTAATATAAACATTACTAGTACTAAAGAAAACAAATTTGACCTGAACAAGTGAAAACCAGAGCCTAAATTTACATTTTATACAATTTTTCTCAGATGTAATTAAATACCCAGGAATATTTTTAGCTTAATATTGATTGATACAGATCCTCCTTTCCCTCTTTCCCTTCCTCAAATTTCCAGAGTCACTTACTTGAAGCAAAAGCATTATTTGGAAACAATATTGTTTTCTGCAGTGTGGTCATATATATTTTATGCATGGAGAAACACATTATTAGCTTTTTCAGTGAACTAGGTCAGGTAAAATCAACACTCTTTAAAACTTCATAAGAGAATTCACATCAAATAACATTGACCTCCATCTCTTTCTGATTTACTTAATTTTTCCTGATTTATGCTGATTATATGGATGTAGGATTATGACTTTTATGAGCCCAGAAGTCAATAGAAACATAGAACATTAACTTTTATCTGTCCTGCTAAATTTCTGAAATATTAGGAATCATCATCAATCTAATATTATATCAATGTTATTATTTGTACATTTAAATATATATATATGTATATATATATATAGATGATGATGATAGGTAGAAAAACACAAGTAACTCAGAGTTCTATTTGCTTTTCCAAGAGTTTCCATGACATTAATTTCAGCAAACTAATCTTGGCTGCCTTTATGCATAAACTACTGGCTTCTCATAATGGTGTATGGCATTTCAATTTCAAACCTGCCCTCAATAAACAGGATGAAGAATTACTGTGCTCATGTATAAACTGTTTTGTGACTCAATGTTTATCTACCTTAATCAATAACACCCAAATTTTAAAAAATCAAAGCACATGAAAAGTAAAACAATTTATTTCATATGCTAAGCAAATTCCTTATTCTTTTCTGAAGTAGAAAAGATTAAAACAGTAAGTCCCACAAGGTAAATTTCATTATACAAAAACTGTAATGTAGGTTAAGCAGTCAAACACTCAACGAATCTGCTTAGTTTCTAAAGGTGATTTTGTTTGTGTACTTACTGATTTCTTCAGATGTATAGTCTAGTCCAGCCCCTGTATTCATCAGCCTTGACCTGTCCTCTCTAAACTCCCTAAAAATATAATAGACATTGTTTAGGAAAATACATTATGCTCAAAAGTAGTATCCTACTGTGTAAAAAAAAAAAGTGTAGAAAAATCAAGCAATCTAAATCGCCTTCAGAGTGCCACAGGTTAACTAAATTAAAAAATGTAAGCTTATTGTAACAAAAACTTTTACTGATTACTTTTTCTTCTTTATTCTCCTCTGCATGATTATCTTACCAAAAGCATGCATCATTTCTAATTAAAATTGTTAAAAATTTATAGACTATAAAGTCAAAGGCTCAGTCACTACAAATTAAGCTTTCTTGTGCTCTTGTCCCTCTGGTAGCTGGTACTCAAAATGGCTTCAAATACCATTGTATCTCATACAAAGAAACCAATAGATCATGTATTAGCTTGATTCACTTAATTTTTTTAAGGTTAAATAACGTTTTATTTCTTTATTTTTTTTTACTTATACATATTAGATATACATATTTTAGGGATATATGTGATAATATGATACACTTATATAATCAAATAAAGGTAATTGGGATATCCATCACCCAAAACATCTATCCCTTTCTTATTTTATTGTTTCATGATGTGAAGTTAAACTATAACTTATTATATTTAGCAGACTGTTCTGCTCTTCACTTATTTTTCTCCTAGCCCTTAAAGCCAATTTTTTCTTAGGTATTTATTAATTATCCTTTCAAAAAATATTATGTTCAAATACACCACAACATACATTTCATATAGTATCTTTAATCCTTATAATAACCCGACCAATTACTTATTTTTTGCATGTTAAATATAAAATACCAGAGAAGTTACAATTTACCCAAGATTATATATACAGATCACAACCCAGATCTGATTTGCCCAGTCCTCAAAAACACAAAGATATTGCTACGGCAATGGCATTGGTGATGAGGCTAAAGTTAAATAATTATGAGAAGGAGATGATTACAGGTGAAACTCATTTTTTCTAAGCATATACCACCCAGCCAGAGATATTAACTACATAAGTGTTGGATGGGAATTATGACAGAGGTGAGACCAATGAATCATCAGTTTGGACCTGGGGATCTCACTAAGACTTACAGAAGCACAGTAATGAATATTGGAGCATTTGAGTAGAATTTTGATGTATTCAGATTATGAATGTCAAGACATGGCTGTCAAGAACCAACAAAGAAAAAGGTTTGTGCTGAACTGAGTAACACATTAAAAAAAAATCACTCATCATAATCAAGTGGGATTTATCCCTGTGACGCAAGGATAGTTCAACATATGAAGATCAATAAATGTGATAAACCACATTACCAAATTAAGGATAAAAACCATATGACCATATCAACAGATGAAGAAAAAGTTATTTGACAAAATTTAACACCATTTCATGATAAAAAAAAAAAAATCTCAACAGATTAGGTATGGAGAAAATACATATCAACACAATAAAGGACACATATGACAAACCCATAACTAACATCCTATTCAATGATGAAAATTTTCTAAAACTAGGGATAAGACAACCCTCACCACTCTTTTCAGCATAGCACTGCAAGCCCTAGTCAGAGCAATAAGGCAAGAAAAAGAAAGGAAAAGCATCTTAAAGAAAAGAAGTAAAAGTGTATTTATTTTCTGAAGACAGGACTTTTATATCGAAAACCCTAAAGACTCCACCATAAAAGCTGTTAAAACTGATAAACAACTTCAGTAAAGTTATAGGATACAATATCAACATATGAAAATCAGTAACATTTCTATGTACTAAGAAGGAACTATAAGAAAAGTAAGAAAATGATATCATTTATAGTAGCAAAAAAATAAAATAAAATACTTAGGTATAAATTTAACCAGAGAGGTAAACACCTACATACTGAAAACTATAAAATACTGACAAAAAAAACTTAAAAAACACAAATAAATGGAAAGATATTGTGTATTCATGTAGTGGAACAATTAATGTCATTCAAATGTCCATAGTCAATGAAATCTCTATCAAAATTCCAGTATCATTTTTCCCAGTAATAGAAAAAGCAATCCTTGAATTTGTAGGAACCACAAAAGACCCCAAATAGCCAAAACAATCTTGGAAATGAAAGAACAAACTGGATGCCTCCATCACATTCCTGATTTCAAAATATGTTATAAAGCAATTGTAATGAAAATAACATGGTTCTGGCATAAAAACAGACACATTGACTAATGAAATAGAATAGAAAGCCCAGAAATAAACTCACATTTACAGTCAATTGATTTTTGACAAAGGTGCCAAGAACATACAATAATGAAAGGACCATCTCTTAAAAAAATGGTGATTGGAAAACTGAATATCCACATGCAGAAGAATTAAATTGGATTCTTATCTCATACCATATACAAAAACCAACTCAAAATGGATTAAAGACAAACAGAAGATCAGAAACTGTAAAACTACTGGAAGAAACATAGAGGAAAAGTTCCATGACATTGGTCTGGACAATGCCATTTCAGAATTCATCTGAAAAGCACAAGTAATATAAGCAATAATAGATAAACTGGATTGCATTCGCAAGTAATATAAGCAATAATAGATAAACTGGATTGCATTACACTAAAAAGCTTCTGCATGGCAATGGAAACAATGAACAAAGTGAAAAAACAACCCACAAAATGGGAGAAAATATGTGCAAACCATACATCTGATAAGGGGTTAATATTCAAAATATATAAAAAATTCAACTCAGTACCAAGAAAAAAACCAATGTAAAAATGGGCAAAGGACCTGAATAGACATCTTTCAAAGGAAGACATACAAATGGCTAACAGCTCCACTGATGGAAAATGCTCAGCGTCATTCATCATTAGGGAAATGCAAATAAAAACCACAATAAGATATCATCTCATGCCTGTTATAATGGCTATCATCAAAAATATGAAAAATAAGTGCTGGCAGGATACAGAACAAAGGTAATTCTTGTACATTGTTTTTAGGAGTATCAACTATTATGAAAAATGATATGGAAAAAGTTAGAGTAGAACTACCATACTACCCAGCAATCCCACTGTTAGTTATATATCCAAAGGAATTGAAATCAATATGCCAAAGGGATATCTGTACTCCCAATTTCATTGTACCATATTCCTAATAGTCACAATATGGGGGAAAAAACCTATGTGTCCACCAGCAGATGGATGGATAAAAAAAACATAGTCTGTATATACAATGGAATACTATTCACCCTTAACAGAAAAAGAAATTGGTGTCACTTGCAAAAATGTGAATAAACCAGGAGAACATTATATTAATGAAATAAGCCAGGCACAGAAAGACAAACATTGTATGACCTCACTTATATGTGAAATCTAAAAGGTTGAACTCATAGAAGTAGGAAGTAGAATGATAGCTACCAGAGGTTAGGGTTAAGGGAGGAAGAGGAAGAAAGTGTGAAGTTACTGGTCAAAGAATACAAATTTCAGATAAGCAGGAAGAATAAATTTTGAGATCTATTGCAAAGCAAGGTGATTATATTCAATAATATATTGCATATTTCAAAATAATTAAGAGCAAATTTCAAATGTCTTACCAAAATAACAAAAAGTAAGCAAGGTGATGGATATATTTATTACCTTGATTTAATCATTCCAAATTGTATACATATATCCAAACCTCACACCATAAACAATTATATATATAATTATGTATGTATAAATGCATACATTTACTACACTGGTGAACAAATAAACCAATATTCCTTCATTTGTATTCTAGTGGAGGTTACAGAAATTAAACACATATTGAATAGGACAACTAGATTGATATACACAAAAAGCAGCCTTTAATATCATGATAAAATATGACAGAGAAGTGATTTTCAATGAAAAGGGCAGAAAGAATCTTTCTGAAGAGATAACATTTGATGAGAGACATGACTGATATAATGGAACAAGAAAACTAATGATAATTCCTGGCTCTAGAAGGGGAGCTAGCCGTGGGAGTTTGGAGAAGAGAGAGAAGACCAGAGTGGCTGAAGCATAGTGTCCACTGTGAACACTGTAGGAGGTAGCCCTGATAAGTTCAGACTGAGATATATAAGAATATAGATATATATATTTTTTATATTTATATCTACATACATATATACGTATATACACACACACTCTTCCAAGCTCATACACATTGTTAGCAGAATCCAGTTTTCTCTCCAGCTGTCATCAGAGGGCCATGCTTTACCTCTAGAGGCTAGATTCCAGCTCTTGCATATGGACCTGTCTCAAAGCCAGAAGTGGGATTTTGAATCCTTATCACTCTTAAAATCTCTCTCACTTCTATTACCTCTCTCCCTGCCTCCAACCAGAGAAAGTTCTTTGCTTTATAAACCTCCTACCATATAGGACGACTAGACTGACAGATACAAAAAGCAGAAAATCATGATAGGATATGATAGAAGTGTGGTTTTCAATAGAAAGGAAAGAACGAACCTCTTTGAAGAACGGACATTTGATCAGAGACATGACTGATGTAATGGAATATGAATACTAATGATAATTAGATTGTGCCCAACGAGATAATCTAGGATAATCTTTCATAGAAGAGTCCATAATCTTAAATACATCTGCAAAATCCCTTTTTCCAAGTAATATAACATCATCATAGGTTCCAGTGATTAGTGTGTAATCATTATTTTGAAGGGTGGGAGAAAAGGGACATTATCCAATCTATGACAATTAATAACAAATAAACAAAAATACTTGGCTATTTCCTTATGTTTCACACCTATCCTCCCCATAAGTTATAATTACAGCTGAATGATTGCTTAATGAAAACCCATATAGAATATATCATTAATGCATTTCCATATATAAGAAAAACAGAGGAAAAACATACATTTTTGCAAGCTATTGGAAAAGTTAAATAAGAAGTTAATCCTTTGACAATAACTTACTTGTATAAGGGACAGAAAATCAAACTCTTTCTATATTGTTTGTTCTTGTTTTGTATTCTAGAATCTAGAATATGTTTTAAAAAGCTGCCCTA